AATTCAACGTGATCTTTGTTATATTTAAGACAGGTATCGCAGGAGTGGATCCGCAAGGCTTTTATTAAAAGGTAACCACACACATACCTGATAAAAATTTTCTGTAGCAATTCGTCTTTACAATAATTTAGGGTGTTAATAATTTCATCATAAAATAAAATACAAGGTGTTCCATTTAAAAAACATACATTTTAATTTTCCAGGCAAAAACGTGACACCCTGTATATCCAAAGATATTTTTAAAATATGTAGGTATTTTTCAAATCCATATAACTTTTATTTAAAACTTTCTTGCGTGTCTACAACAAAATAATGAACAATAACGCACTAATGAGACACCCTGTATAAATTATATTTTTAACAATGAAAATTTCTTATAATGTAGTACTTATCGGTTTGGGTCCTTGGGAAAACTAAAGAATGTTTTCTTGCAGGTATAACCCTTATTAAAACAGCTTTTGACTGCACAAACTCATTCTACTCACAGCTAAAGAGTCACCAAAATAATAACAGTACCTTTAACTCAAACAAAATCAACGAAATTATAGGCTCCACGAAATTATACAATCAACGAAATTATACGCACGACTCAACACCTTGCCTAAGTACGCTTCTGAACGCCAAAACCGTCTTTTCACTTCGAAGGCGGAGCTTAAGCGATGCGCGACGAAATCGACGCAAACCGTTGCCGCCAAGAGAGTGTTTTAGCTGTATTGTATAAGCTGTGCTATAAGTGTGTTTTTCTTCATAATTAAGTGAGCTTCGTAGTTTGGTATTTTTCCTAGGTCAGATCTAATAGTTTGTCAAGTTGGATGGAATGTTCTAAAGACTGTATTACTCTCACGTCTGCAAATTCCACGTTTACTTCTTTCATCCAGCTCCTGCCGAATATTGGGCCGACGTTTTGATTTATAATGTATAATTTACCGTTGAAAATCCGAATTTTATGAGCGCATTGAACGTACGTTACTCCTGTATGCTTGATAATTTTGTCAGTGTAGGTTCTTAATTTCATTTCAGTTTTGAATATTTTGTTTGCTATGTTTAGCTTTTTGTATTGTTTAACATCACTAATTTTAAAAGAATTATTTTTTCTTGAAACTTCTCCCTTTATCTGTGTCCATATCAGTTCAATCGGGTTTACTTCGCAATGATATGGTGGTGATCTAACCACCGTCATCCCACGATTTTTTGCAATTTCATCAATTTCATATTTTTTTAATTTCTCTTTATGAAGGGAACACAAATGATACAGTTCTTTTCTCACAGAACCGGGATGGAACTTAATATTCTTTGAATTTAGCCAATTCTGTAAATCTTTTTTTAACCACTTGGTTGTGGGCATTTTTACTTTCCTATCTGTATACAGATATAAGGAAAGTATAGGAATCATGATTTTTTTCGACCTCGAGTTTTCGACGGATTTTTACGTTTTGAGGTCCCCTGAATCCGTTTTGACTATTTTCGCGATGATGTCTGTGTGTGTGTGTGTGTGTGTGTGTGTGTGTGTGTGTGTGTGTGTGTGTGTGTGTGTGTGTCTGTGTCTGTGTGTGTGTGTGTGTGTGTGTCTGTAGGTCGCATAACTCATGAACCGATACACAGAAAAACACCAAATTTTAAACTTAAGCTTTGTTTCAGCGTCCAATGAGCTGATTAGATTTTGGGCAGAGTCGGAACATCTGGGGGGGTACTTTATAGGTGGTCATTTTTATATTTTATGGAATATATCTGTTATTTACGTTTGGAGAAGAAAATTCTTCAAATAAAAGTTACTTCTTATAAAATTATCTATAATTTTTGTATTATGCAAAATTTTCCTAAAATGGTCCGTATTCGAGAAATTTGACAAAATGTAAAAAAAAATAATTTTTTTTAAAAATTGTTCAAATAAAAGTTGTTTGTAATATAATTTTCTATAATTTTTATCCTATAAATAATTTCTCTAAAATAGACCGTATTCGAGATATTTGAGAAAATGTGTAAATTTCGAATTTTGAAGAAAACTCAAAAACGGATAAAGGAAAAAACATTAAATTTTAAACTTAAGTTTTATTTCGACCTGAGGTGAACTGATTAGATTTTGGACAGAGTCGGAACATTTGGGGGGGTACTTTATTGGTGGTCATTTTTATATTTTATGGAATATATTCGTTATTTACGTTTGGGGAAGAAAATTCTTTAAATAAAAGTTACTTACAATATTATTATCTATAATGTTTGTTCTATATCAAATTTTCCTGAAATGGTCCGTATTCGAGAAATTTGACAAAATGTGCAAAATTCTGATTTTTAAGAAAATTGTTAATCTAAAAGTTGTTTGCGATATCGATCTCTATAATTTTTGTTTTTAAATGACTTTTCTAAAATGGACCGTAATGGAAAAATTGGAGGAAAAGTGCTAAATTAAAATTTTTCAGTATTTTTGTTTTCAATGAATATCTATAGAAAAATGTTTCGAGGTAGATGTATGTGGAAAATGTATATATTTAGTTTATCCTCTAAACATTTTTAGAGATGCTGCAATAGGTTAACTAAATAGGAAAGTCATGTGTTGGACACATCAGATTTTTTTCTATAAGTCTCGAGTGATAACTTGCATTATCCATTACTATTATACAGTTCTGAGGAAGAAGATCTATAATTTGTTCGAACCACTCTTTAAAGACATCAGCATTCATGTCCTCATGGTAATCACCGGTACGAGTAGATTCAAAAGTCAATAAACCACCTTTAACAAAACTGTTTGAACTACCGATGTGTACTATTATTAGTCTGCGCCCCTTTCCTGATGGTGGATTTAAACCAGTAGATAAATTATTTAAAAAAGCCTGTCTTCGACTTGTAACAGTTTCATCTTGCCAAAATTTATTTGGTTTATGTCCCTCGTTGATCCATGTTTCATCTAAATAAAATATATTTCTTCTTTGGTTTCTCATTTCTTTTATAGTCCTTAGGTAATTTCTTCTCCATACTACAATATCGCTTCTTTCTATTAAAATAGACTTTTTGGAATGCTTTTTCCATAGAAAACCTATTTCTTTTAAAAGTTTCCATAGTGTGCTTCGACTCATTTCAGGGTAATCCTTATCATCTCGAACCGTGGCAAGAACTTTGTCTACTGTCGCAAATTCTTTTCTAAAGAAGAACGCATGCACTTTCCTTCGAAGTCTTTCTTTCAAAAGATTTTCTAATTGAAATTTTGGTTTTCCTGGAGCTTTACGTGCTGTTTGAAACTCGCCACATTTCTCTTCTTTAACAACTCTGTAAATCGTAGATTTCCCAACACTAACTAATTCCACTGTGTCATCAACACTTTTACATAAATGTTTGTCTGTAAATGATTTAAAACAATTAAATATTAATGTTTTTTCATTAATTATTAAAGGACCGATTTTTTGTCGTTTACGCGGCTCTTCCAAATTTTCCATGATCACACTAGAATTCACACTGCACCTTGCAAGTTGCAACTAAACGACATTTAGTAAACTGTCAAGAATACACAAATTGGACCTCCTTACAAAATGGAAAACCTATAATCGCATTTTCGGTGAAATTTGTTGGGAAGGTATTTATCTACTTATAATTCGATTACTGTAAGAAATTCTTGGAATTAAAATAAAACAAAATTGGCAAATAGGTACTTATTGAAAATAATCTTAAGATACGGCTATGTAATCTTTAATACACAGGGCTTTTGGCCTGTCCAAACCTTTTTCTATTGTTCTGTATAGCTTATGTTTATAAAGGACCAATAAAAGACCCAAAACTTGCAATAGCTCAGGTACATTTATTACAATTTTAGGAAATATTTAGATTATTCTGTAAGAATATTTAAAATGACCGTACTAAGTTTTGTATTAGAAATGCTGTTTTATTACTCTCTCATAGATAAAAATAGACTATAGTATGTGACTGTAATGTGGATGGTTGTATAGGTGGACTATTTATATTCTGTAATATAAGAAGTTTCGTTTTTATGATTATACATTGTTCTTCAAAATCGATGCCTGGTTTCGATTTCTTGGTTAAGATGTTCTTCCGGTGTTTCCAATTCTATGTTGTGTTGTATATCTTGTAATTTTTGCAATGTTTCTTGAAGTGATTGAAGTCTTGTTTGGGTTTCTTCATATGATATTATTTCTTGAGTGTTCACGTAGTTTTCTAGTTTTGCAACTAAGCCTTGTAATGAGGTGCGGGTGTTTTCTTAGTTTTTTAATATTAATTAAATACTAATTAAATACTATGAATTAAAAGTATTTAAAAATATCAAAAATCCAAACTAAAGATACGATCAATCCAACCATTAAACCTGAAAAAAAAAAGAATTCAAAGTTTAGTATCTCTCATATATATTAGATGTATTTAAAACTTTATATAATAATCAATTTTATGAGTATGTAATATACTGGCATACATTATTATAATACTTTTTTACGCTAGTTCTGTTTTGGGTTTAATTTTAAAACCGATTATAATTATATGATGTGCCAAAAAATTAGGAATTACTGAAAAAAAAATCATAAATAAGTCGTTTAACTGCTAACCACGAATAAGGAGCGTTAAGTAACACTGCGTATAATGTCCGCCCTTGGCCGTATAGTAGTTGATGAATCATATATTTTCTGCACAGTAATCTCATAAAAAAATACAAGATTAGCGATAGTGATAGAAGAATAAATCTATGTACTAATTAACCTTAAAAGAAAACAAACCTGAGAAATACCTGTAATCTTTATTAATTTATCTAACTATTAGAATCGTCAAGCAAACAAAAAGATGTTTAATTAGCATCTTTACTTAACTACTAATTAAATAGATACTTAAGTAAAAAAGTATGTTTTTTTTAAGCCTTCAGTGGCGAAAATAATAACATTGAAATTATGCATATTACTTGATTGTTATTATAATGAAAAAACTGTATCTCTTAAATCTCGTTTGACCAAAACAAAAATCGGCTCTTCGAAGAAGGCTCCATTCGTTTCGAAACTGGTTTTTTATTTATTTTTTTTTTTTTTTCGTAACAAAATGTAAATAATTTTACGTCACCATCTTATTATATAAGATACATCCATGGCTAAGATTCATTGTAAACGAAGAACGATTACTGAAGAATACACAATGAATCGCGTTATTTTAGCTGTTTTTGTATTAGCGACGCTGGCGGTAGTGTCGAGTGCGCCGAAAACTTTGGAAGAAAATATAAAGCTTTTGAAAGCTATCGACATAAACACGGTGTTGAACAATCATAGAATTATTGAAAGTTATGTTTATTGCGTAATCGGCAGAAGACCTTGTACAAAGGAAGGAAAAGCTCTGAAAGGTAAGTTTTATACATTCATTATAGGGCCAGTCTTTTAACCAAACAGCAGTTTTCACCAACAAAAATTAGCTGGATATCAGAGAGTTATTATATTATTCAGTTCTGGAAAAGTCAGTTAGGGTCCGATTACAATTAGAAGAACACAACTACGTCATCATTTGGCAACGTAATTAATTGATTATCGCCGTCTAATGGGGGTTTAGTGTTTTACACCTAACTTACCTAATTTTTTTTTTATTGAAAGGTATAAATAATATGCATTCGAAATTTGAAGTAATGGTTACGACGTAGCTGTGTTCTTCTAATTATAATCGGACCCTACTAACAAAACTTTTAGGTACAAATCATTTTCGAGTTTCTTAAATTATAGATGGTACTTTTCGATGTCCAGACGTTTCTGCGATTTATTTCAAAGATTTTATTTCCATATAAAATTCAAAGTGTATATTTTTTAAAGATTTTAGAAGTTAGGTATTTTGGAACTTTTAAAAAACCAAATTTCCTATCAAAATTCTACTGGAAATTACATACAATTTGATTTTCCGTTGAGAAAAATAAATGAATGTTATTATTTTACACTTTATATTATCTATAAATATTTCTGCAAGTAACGGGCTTAATAGACCAGGGATGAAGCCTTTGAAAATGGTAAGAAGTAAAAAAAAATAATAGTAGGATGAAACCCATTAGAAAACAAAGAAAATATAACAAAAATGAAAGGAAAAATAATTTACGGGCGATCTGTGGTCGGGAAGTGGAAGGGGGTGAGTTTTTAAGGGTAAAAAACGGTTTATCTCAATTTCTGGAAAAACTACAAGTCCTATGGAAAAAAGTTAAATGGCAAAGTTATATGTAATAAAAAGATATACAACTTTTGTATTTACACTTTTTTCACATAACCTCAAAATTTATGTGAAAAATTTATTTTTCTTTCATAAAAAAATATTTTTTTACAAAATTTGGTGAAAACTTACCTTTTTATATCCCAAACATACTGTAATTTTTTTGATTTATAATATTTATTTTTTCACCTTATTTTGACTTAATATTGAAAAAGCACCCTAATTTTAAAACGAAAATTCTTCTGTCAAAATATCTGCTTTTTTAAAAAAGTCTGTGGGTTTTTTGTTCGTTAAAATCTCTACTTTCTGATGGTGTAAAAAAATATATACATAACTGTGGTAAATGTTCTCAGAAAATGCCAAGAAACGAAAAAATATCGAATCCGAAATTTTTTTTTAATAATTATGTACAAATTTGAACTATTTATAAAAATTGACACTTTAATTACTCGAAAAACTGAAGATTTCATGTTACATTGATAAAAAAAAATTGCAAATCGAAATATACTACTATAACTATCAACCAAATAAGTTAATAAAATTAATATTTAATAAGACATCTACAATATTTTGAGAAAGTTGTAGAATCTTCTTTAATAGATAATGATCCTTACAATTTGTCGTCAATTCAAGAGCTCTTTGAAACTGGCCCCCTAAATTCGAAAATTTTAATTTTAGAAGCAGTATACGTTTGACCACCTATTGACTATATTTGACCACCCACCAACTTTTTTTGACCACCCTCAGAAACCTAAATATTTAAAAAAATATTAATGATCGAGTGCCCGCTGCCCCCCAAAGTTAATATTTTTTAAAACTGACTGCACCATAAGATTAACCAATTTTTGACCATATTTGACCACCATTTAGATTTTTTTTAACACCCCTTAAAATAATTTCAAGGGGGTAAATTATAGAAAAACAAAGAGTTCTGGGATGAATTTCAACTTTGAAAAATAGATCAATGGTCAGAAAGGCACAAGTTTTTGGTTTTTTATTTTTATCTTTTATACAAAAAAAATTTTCACTTACCTTTTTATGTTCAAACACACTGTAATTTTTTTGATCTAAAATATTTATTTTTTCACCTTATTTTAACTTAATATCGAAAAAGCACCCTAATTTTCAATCGAAAATCTTCCCATCGAAATATCTCCTTTTTTAAAATAGTCGGTGGGCTCTTTGTTCGTTTAAATATCTACTTTCTGATGGTGTAAAAAAATATATACATTACTATGGTAAATGTTCTCAGAAAATGCAAAAAAACGAAAAAAACCCGAATCCGAATTTTTCTTTATTTCAATCATTATGTACAATTTTTAACTATTTATTAAAAATTACACTTTAATTACTCAAAACACGTAAGATTCCATGTTACATTGATAAACAAAAAAATAACAAATTCATAAAACATGCAAAAATAGTTGTCTATAGGGGTATTCATCTAAAAAATGTGATTGTTACAATTTTTTTTCAGTAAAAAGTTGATTTATTAAATTCTAATTACATTTATGTCATAGAAAATCTCTTAATATATAAATATGCATGCAAATCGTGCTATTGAATTTAGATACTTTATACTGATTACGTTATTCATTCTTGTTATTTATAAATAACTTATTTTGAATTCTAATCACTTAGGGGAAGTGTGCCCAGTTAAGGATTTCAAAACCAAAAACGAATTTTTAAAAATTGACTTTATTTCGAATGCTACAAGATGAGAACTAACTAGAAAATTATGTTTTTGCACTATTTATAAACGGTTAATCATATCATATTTCTAAGCGTCTATTCTATTCTTCACTATTCTCGTATTCCTGGAATATAACTGCCCGAGTTGGCATACATTTCGTAATTATTTTTGTTTCTAAGTTATTTTTGGGGTTTACAGGCTCAAATTTGGTAGTTATAAAAAAAGGTCTTTACAAAAACATACCACTTATTCCTTAGATCAAAATAAGTCGATTTAAGTAAAATTACCTTAGTACAAAGTTGCTTCGTTTGGGCCCCAGAGGGCCTTGAAGTTACAATTTTTAAATCGTTTTTTCCATATAAATTTAAAACGGCATATGTGATTTTGCTGAAATTTGGTATATTGGTAGAGTTTTATGTGGCAAAAAAATGGTATTAAAATTTTGTCCGATAATAATACATAGGTGTAGAACTTGATTTTTTAAATAATGGCACCTTTAAAAATTCTACGCCAATGGAAGAAAAGGAGTTTGAGTATGAAATTTAGATTGTGCAACTTATTTACTTTAAAAAAGGTACTCTTGATAAGACTTGTTCTTTTCCAGATTTGTTCAATTTTATAACATTTTCCTTTTTACCTTTTAAAATATTTACATCATCCTTTTTTTATTACTTTATTTTTAAAGAAAGTGATTTCATCATTGTTTTCTGTTGGTGCATTTACTAATAGGAGGTTTTTACTTAGCTCTGGTACATATAGAACATCATTTAAGGTATATTCATATAACTTAATTTTTACCTTTACCTTCAGCTTGTATTGATTCAGACTTTTTAGCATCTGATATATTTATGTCTGCTTGTTCCTTTTGCAGAAAACTTGTATCATTCACTTTAGTTTCTGTATTATTGTTTTCATAAAAGAATGCAATTTTATATCTGGAATTCCATGTTTTCTTTCTAAAGTAATAATCTTCTTTAGTGTGATTGGTGTTTTACACATATTACAAACTTTATTTGAATTATTACTTGAATTTGGTACGAAACGTTTATAGCACGAACTTGCAAAATGTCCAGGTTTTCAACATTTAAAGCATTTCTTTTTTTGCATTGAGACCATCCTTTTTGCAAATTTGACAATTTTCAAAACTTTGAAAAGCAACTACATGTTCTTCACTTTCACCTTTGTACTTACTTTCTTCAGCTATATTAATCTGGCTGTTAATTTTGTCAACGTTTTCTCTGAAATTGGTGTAGAATCCCAAGAAGTCAAAAAATATTTATAATCATTACGCAAAGATGATAAAATTTTGGAAATTAGCATATATTCGTAAATTTGTTCAAACTTGTAATTAAAAAATTCTTACAGTAAATTGCATTTTTGATCATTTCTTTCAAAGATGTCTTGCGACAACTGCTCGTCCATATCCTTTCACTGCTATTCGCGCATTGGCGTAGTGCATACATTTTGATGTTTTCTAAAGTAAATGATAAAAAATTTTAGAAGTAAAAGAGAAAAATAAAATACATATTAATAATTGTTCCTCGCTTTCATGTGATTGTTTACTTTTCTACTATTATTATAAAAAAATTGATTTGGGAATTCTTTGAAAAGAGAAAAGCGTAGTTAAAAATTGGTTGAAATGATTTGGAACCATAAAAAATTCTGTATAAACCTGTTGATAATAAACATATATTTATTTACTTATTTTATTTTTCAGATAGTTGGAAAGACGGTATAGACAAGGGATGTGACGATTGTTCTGAAGAAGAAAAAAGGAAAGTAAAGAAAATCGTCAAACACATGTACAAAAACGAACCTGAATTGTACAAATTGTTATCCGAATCTTTGGACAAAGACGGCAAATACAAAGAAAAATATGACAAATATATTAAAGAAATCGTCGACGACGATACTCTATAAATTAATACCAGTAATTATGATATAGTTTGTTTGTTAATGATGGAATCTGTAATCAAAGAGTTGTTGATAGTAAATTAATGTTAAACTAATTTCGTTTTTTCATTTCATGTTATCACCCTAAAAGCATTCAGTACTGCTCTTCTTAAATTTTAGCAAATCTACTAGTGAGTCTAACGGTCGATAACCTTATGAGCAATACAAGAACTTTTAATGATGTAAAATACCGCGTGCATAAAATAACTTGATGAAAAGTGATACTAGCGCCCGGACTATTTTTAATGACATGACAAATAATAATAATAATAATAAAATGCTTTTATTTGCATTGTGATATACAATACAGTAAATTTAACCCCTTTTTACAATATAAATACATAAGAAATACATTAAAAACAATAAAATAACATTAAAAAAAAAACATTAAAAACACAATAAAAAAATCTGATGTGTCCAACACATGACTTTCCTATCTAGTTATAATAGGCATTTTCCGGTTATTTTGTACAACCTATTGCAGCATCTCTATAAATGTTTAGAGGATAAACTAAATATATACATTTTCCACATACATCTACCTCGAAACATTTTTCTATAGATATTCATTGAAAACGAAAATACAGAAAAATTTAAATTTAGCACTTTTCCATTACGGTCCACTTTAGAAAAATCATATATAAACAAAAATTATAGAAATCGATATCGCAAACAACTTTTAGTTCAACAATTTTCATAAAAATCAGAATTTTGCACATTTTGTCAAATTTCTCGAATACGGACCATTTCAGGAAATTTTGACATAGAACAAAAATTATAGATAATAATATTAGAAGTAACTTTCATTTGAACAATTTTCTTCTCCAAACATAAATAACAGATATATTCCATAAAATATAAAAACGGCCTCCCATAAAGTACCCCCCCAGATGTTCCGACTTTGTCCAAAATCTAATCATTTCACGTCAGGCCGAAATAAACCTTAAGTTTAAAATTTAATGTTTTTTCCTTTATCCGTTTTTGAGTTTTCTTCAAATTTCGAAATTTACACATTTTCTCAAATATCTCGAATACGGTCCATTTTAGAGAAATTATGTATAGAACAAAAATTATAGAAAATTATATTACAAACAACTTTTATTTGAACAATTTTTATAAAAAATTATTTTTTTTACATTTTGTCAAATTTCTCGAATACGGACCATTTTAGGAAAATTTTGCATAAAACAAAAATTATAGATAATTATATTAGAAGTAACTTTTATTTAAAGAATTTTCTTCTCCAAATGTAAATAACAGATATATTCCATAAAATATAAAAATGACCACCTATAAAGTACCCCCCCAGATGTTCCGACTCTGCCCAAAATCTAATCAGCTCATTGGACGCTGAAACAAAGCTCAAGTTTAAAATTTTGTGTTTTTCTGTGTATCGGTTCATGAGTTATGCGTTATACAGACACACACACACACACAGACACACACACACACACACACACACACACACACACACACACACACACACACACACACACACACACAGACATCATCGCGAAAATAGTCAAAACGGATTCAGGGGACCTCAAAACGTAAAAATCCGTCGAAAACTCGAGGTCGAAAAAAATCATGATTCCTATACTTTCCTTATATCTGTATACAGATAGGAAAGTAAAAACTTAAAAAATAAATGATAATAGGTACATATTAGTAAACTAAAAGTTCAATTTAGTGACAATTTTTATACATTATTATGGATACTATGAGATTATATTTAAGGTATCTGTTTTATTAGTAAAAGTGATTTGATACAGTATTTAAAATTATTGAACAATATTTGGGCATCAAAAAATGAAAAATTAAATATTTTTCAAAACGTAACGACTTTTATTTTACAGTTTGTTAGTTATATAAAATTCCTATACAAATAACAAAGTAAATATTAAACAAATAATAAAAGGTAAACTAAAGAATACTATTATTATTATTATTACAGTACTGTAACCTACCGCACCCAGGTACCTAAATAATTTATTAATTCCATTCTTATTAAATTCAAAATCCTTCATTTAACAAAAAATCTCCCAGACAATTAAATCTTATTTACGACATCTAATAAATAATATCTATAACCACGTTCGTAAAAGATTCAAATTTCGTACAAGTGTCTGGGAACCCGACCTGAATCCACCATAAAACATATTTCTTTCACAAAGTAATCATCATTAAAACACTTAACTCGCTTATCTATCTAGTTTCGATGTTAAGAGCGATTCCGACAATATTTCGATACACAAAGCCCTCAAGGCACATAATAAATTTATCACCCACTTTTCTTTCCACCCTAATTCGTTTTTCGCTGGGAACTAAGAAACTGACATCACAAAAAGCCACAGTCAATATGTGGCAACTACGATATTCCCGCTATAGCTATACTCTCTGGCTTTGTTGCTGACATTCGGTTCACCTAATATCCTACCACGATATCTTCTAATTCTAATCGACGACTAGCTGTTGCCTTGTTGCCATGTTATTAACGAATAGGTACTAGATGTATGCCTAACAACAAAAAATAGATAATATATAACGTGTCTTCATCAATACGGTTAAATAAATACCAATATCCCACGTGATCTGGTAAAAAATAAACTTAGTGACAAATGGGTTTTCTTTGTGAATTAAGTATCAGTTTTGTCAAATAGGTTAAAAAATAGTTTTGGGGTTACTACTGAAGTTAATTTTGACATCAATTTAGTCACGTGTGATAAGAGTATTTTTGAAGACTCTATATGAACTATGTGCAGTTAATAAAATTCCTAAATGTCATTTGAACGTGGTTTACAGCAAAAACAATTTTCTTAAAATACAGGAAAAATTTTATAATGCTTTATTTTCTAATTTGTTGACTATTACATATCTACATATCTTTACAAATAAATAATTCTTAAAAAACGAGTGCTTCATTTGGGTTTCTATGGTTGCTTAGTAATTGGTTCAACTTTGACTTCCTGTTTCTTGGATTCAAAATATCGCTTTTTATAGGTCCCTGTAGGATCGTACTTCTCCTGCAAAGGATTCCAATAATCAGGTTTATTGTCAATTAAATATCTCATCATATATTCAGACCCTTCTTTCTGCTTTTCACTGCATTTGCTGCAGTCGGTTTCTATTGCGTCAGGCATATTTTCTAAAAAAAAAACAAATTAATTTGTTTTATTATTTTTATGACTATATACTCAAAGAGCGAAAGCCCATGAAGAACCGCTAACGCGAATATAGATAATTTTCGCTTCTATTCTAGTACTCTACACCAAAAATCTAGAATAAATCAATTATCAGAAGCAGTTAATTTGATTTCTGCTTTTCACAACAATCATTCAATCTATTAGCAAGATTTTCTACAAGATTTTTCATTTATATACGGTCCACAATTCTATTCGGTAAGAGGGAAGAAACCTTTAAGCAGGCTGCGATAATTTAAGAATTTAATATTTTTACTATTAATTAGCAATTTACTTTTTAATTCTAATCCATCTGGGGTACATTGTCCTTTTTCTAAAAGACAATTAACGTAATTTTTTAAAAGCCTATCGCTATGGACTATTTCTTCTAAATCCACATTGTCATATTTGGTGGTATATTTTGATTTTTCAGATACGGCACTCAAGGAAGAAGCAAAAAGACACGAGATGATTAATGTAGAAAACATTTCCTAAAAAGAAAATAAAATAATTAGTACATAAATAATTATTGTGTATATATAGAGAAAAAGAACTTTTAATCCAAATAATAGGTCCAATAATTAAAAGCGTAATTTTATATCTGAAAAACTATTTGTTAGAGATTACGGTGAAAATTAAATAAAAGCAGATAATTATGATAATTCATTTTTACATTGTAAACAAAATGATAGCAATTCGAAAATGATGTCGATTGTTTCAAACCAAATTTCCAGGATCGAGCCTCAAAGGAGAATCACTAAGTATAATTAAATATAACTTCTAATAACCCTCTACCGTATATTGCAATTTTTAAACCACTGTTAAGAATGCTAATTGATACCGGCAGCACTAAATACATTATAAAAAGTATAATTGCAGAAAAGTTCAACGTCTCTAGGTATAAAAAATATCAAATATATACCAGATTTCAGCGAATTTAATGATAATCATGTGTTGACTTCTATTCTTTATGATTTCCACGAATTTTTCGATGGAGTCATGGGTATTAATGACTTTATTGCAATACACTTTAATACAGATTTAAATAATAAATAATTAAGTAGTCGCGTTATGATTCCAATAACATTTAGACAACCACATGATATAAACTAACAAATGTCGGTTGGTCCTTTTGAACGAACATTAAAACAAATCCCGGTGAATATTTGAAACGGCAATATTTTATTCGATAAAACTTAACTGCACTTCGGGAATATTCAATAGAATGAGATGGGTTATTCTCGATGTTTCGTTGCACCGCGTCTGCGGAATATATAAATCGGCCGTCGAGCACGGATAGGTAGTTTTGTCTTGGAAAGTAATCCAATGCGATGCGATTAAGACGATATAAGCGAAGTAATAGTGCTGTGTGAAATAACAGTACTGTGAATTAGTATTGAAGTAAGTGGTGTTATAATTTTTGTAATTTAAATTAAAATTAAAAGGATTTGATGTCTAAGAGTAGACTACCTACTCGTATTCATGTACTTTAAAAATCTTTATCGACGTAAATATTTATGTACAAATGGAATTATTACTTGGCTGTTTTTTTAATTGTTACAGGCCGGTTCAACATTTGAAATGGAAAAAAGGACGCAAGAAAATACATTATTCAAATATTTATTTAAAAAATCTAAACCTGGTACTGGTAGTGAAGGTTCTACTGAAAATCAGTGTTCAAGTGTTTTCGACAGTGATATTGCTACAAGTAGCTCTGTTACTTCTGCTGCCGTTCCTAGGACTGTGGATGATGTTTCTCAGCATATTTTAGATGTGGGCTATTATTCTCGTGGTTGGTTTACACGAGTACAGGGCAACAAGGTGCTTTGGGCAAATATTGTGTATTATTTGCCAGAAATTGTGCAGGTAAAGGCTTTCATCAGCAGTTGAAATCCGTAGTTACTCAGCCGCTTACTAAATGGAAAAATGCTACATATGATTTCAAACATCACAGTAAAAGCCAGTACCACAAATCTTCTGTATTATTGGCTGATAATCCACAAGCTGGTGGATCAGACAATAACAATGTGAAATAGAAAATGGTTATTTTAAATACTCCAGAGTGAGATGAAAAATAACCTATCTTCGGCCAGGAGTGTTTTAGGGTACTTTTAAATGAGATTTAAGCGTGTTGACCTGTCACTAATCGGACTGAACCAGACGTTTGGACGTTTGGATCGTTTGGAGTTAAAAATGTTAAAGGAGTTAAAGGAGCATGGCAGACCGAACGCAATGAGTAAAGGCTGCCGGTGGGCTACTTATTTTAATGGGTGGTAGACAGGGACAATGATATGTGCGAAACGGCTTCATAGATGTTTTTTTAGTGAAATAAATTTAAAATAATAATTATAATATATTAATAAAAAGTTAAAGATTTACAAGTAAAAAATCGACCAGTTGTTAAAAAAATCCTTTCGCATGGCCCTGATGTAGGCATAATATATAGTCTTTTTTTTACTAGTTCATATAGAGTCGGATAAATGTTTTTTCTTTGAAACCTTCGTGCCTGTCAATAAGAGGCTCATTCAAGTATTTTTCAACTTCAACAATAGCAGCTGCAGTCGGATTATTGGGAGTTTTTATTTTTTGCACTTTTTCATCAAAGTTTTTCCAAAGTAAGGATTTACTGCTGCTGCTGCTACTACTAGATTTTGTCTGAATTATTGAAATTTCTTGTTTTTCGTTTTCTAATGCACCTAAATCGTTCAGAATTGTACGCGATATATTCCTTCCTAAAATCTAACGAACTGAGCTGGGAACTATGTGCTGTATTGAGTCGAAATTTCAAATATTTAATACAAATTTCTAGTCAGTCAAATTTCAGCTTGAAACATGTGTTACGTTGTTATAAGTTATGTCAACAGATGGGGATGTTGTATACGCAACACGCAAAACTAAGAATCGTCGAGGTGGCATCGACACAGATTTAAAGATTCAAATGAACCGAGATCCGACTCACTGATCCGGATCTTTTAACTGATCCAGATTCGTTGACCCAGATCTTCAGAATGATCCGGATTGCCCATCACTATTTGGAATGGGACTTTATAAAAGCTGAATTAGACATGTGGCGGATAAAATGGGTGGAAGAATCTGAACTAGATCGACCAACATGTGCTATTGAAGCTTTCGGAGAATGCAACCAGGCCTTATTTCTACATGTACTCCTAAGAGAACTCTCTCTTCTATGAAACGCCTTAAAACTTATTTGAGAAACTCCACAGGCCAGGAAAGACTAAACGGTTTGGCATTAATGTCAATCCACCGCAGAATTGACATCGACACCGAGGAGGTAATTGATTTGTTCGCTGCAAAGAAAGCTTGAAGACTAAATTTAATTTTGTAATAAGGTGTCAATATTTCTGTAATGGTTTTTTAATGAATATATATGTGATAAGTAACACCATTTTATTTCTTTTATTAAAACGATATGTTTTTCTACTGTTCCACCAAATCCAACCCCCCGAATTTATTTTCTGGCTACGGCCTTGGTTGAGTAATTAATTAATAAAATTATTTTTAAAAACCCTGAATTAGTTTCAAAATACTTATTTCCGTCAATACTTATAGTAATACTTGAGATGTTATTAATTAACAATGACTCACTTATTCTGCAAAATGAACGTTTTAAGATCTAAAAAACTATTACATAACTCACTAAAGTTGTAATATGTAAATAAGATAACTATACAGCTTAATTAATAAACTAATACAGTAAAAAAATAAAATGTGACATGTACCTCTTCGCAAAAAAATACCAGAAATCAAATTAAATTGGGAATGAAAAAACTAATACTTAATTATGGTAAAAGAAAAAAAATTACTATAATTACGTATATTAAGAGATAAAAATACGAATTTGATCAGATCGAAATATTTAAATAAATAATAAAGATATATAATAGTTACGCCATAGGTCTATGATCTTTAGTTTAACTATGTAAGTTTGTATAATAAATTAAAAGTTGCCACTACAGTAATACGAATATAATTCAATGCCTGTTGTGGTATTGGACAAATGAATAGTTGTTTTCTGGAAGTAAATGTTCGCTGATATTATTTTGTGATGCATAGCTTTAAGATTGTTTATTTTTCTCTTTATTTAAAACAATTTAATAAATTGCTCGTTGGTCGTTTTCGATCAGGTATAATATCGCAAACATTTAAAAATCTTCTTCTTATATTATAACATTATTTATTTATCAACTCGAACGTTACAAAAGAGTTAGTAGCTGTTCATGAAACGACAAAATTAATCGCTTCGTATAAATAGACAAATATTTAAATAAAATTTAGGTAAACACTTTCAATTCATTGTTGTTCGGCTTATTAATGTACTTTACAACCTCGGACAGGTAACTAATGGGTTTTATTATTAATTAAAACTAAATAAATGTGTTTATTCCAATTTTATGGGCGAGGGGAAATACTTCTAAAATGTTCCGTAATGGAATATATTAAAAGATTTATAAACTTAAAATTTTCCATAATAGAATATTTTTATAGGATTATAAAGTTTGTTTGTTTTAATAACTTAGGCAGAAGGATATCATTTAACATACAATAGCGTAACTTGACACAGGATGCAAGATATTTTTTTGGACCACCGGGTTACAAAAATGGATTAAATAATATAGAAAAAAAAAATAAAAGAAAAAATGATTTTATTAAAATTTAAAAATAAATAATAGGAACATATTCGCCAGTTTAATAAAAATTAAAAATAAATAGTAAAATAAAGTAGACCTAAAATCATAAAAAGGAAGATTTGGAAGTCTGACAGAAATTAAAATTAATTATTATTTTTAAAGAAATAGTCTCTAACAGTCTCCAATGAAAACGTTTTGTAATTTGTGCGATAATTTTTATACCTACATTAAAAAACATGTATTTTTAAAATTATTACCAATTCGAGAGACGCTAAAATGGTGGTTACGACCTTATCGAGACTGAGGCCCACAAGGGTAAACTCGTATCGTAACAAAAACGAAAAATGATTTAACTTGGAACGAAAGACCGAAAGCTGATAGTAGTATTAGGACGTTGAATTTTTTGTTTTGTGAAGCTTTGGCATTACTTAGATTAAACCATGTGATGATTTTCACAAGCCCTGATTTTTAAAACCATTCTATATCGCCTTTCGATTAGGGTTTAAAAACTTGTTCGAGCAATTTATCCAATAATAATTGGCCCCTTTACCTCATGTAAAATATTTAGGCTCCTTACTTCGCCTATTTATATTCTATTAATAAAGGACAGAAATATGAGTATTGCAACTATGTTAAAAGAAATAAATTGACTTCAAGTTCAGAATTATGTTCAGTACATGACTGATATTAATTTATAAAATAAAAATAACATAAATCCATCGCATCAGATCTATTAGAAAAAATTCAATATAATTCACAATATCACAACTATAATACAAGAAGCCAATCTACCTTCATGTACGGCAAGCCATCACTAAAAGTTCCCAAATTACAATTTTTATTAAAGGTTTAAAAAATTTAATAGACAGCCTACAGAAATTAAAAAAAAAACAACAATAAACGTATTCAAAAGTAACCTCAAACAATACTTGATAAATAAACAGAACGGATATACTTTCTTGTGATAATACTCTTTAAACCTGCCCATTTTAAGTATTTCCCTTAATTTATTGTTACTCGTTTTACCTCGTCTTACTACTTACTATTTTTAAATTATTAATAGTTTTGCGACGATAGGTTATAGCAACTTATAGCTATAAAACTATTTTTGTGTTAAAGTAGATCCATAAAGAGCAATGTAATTTACAAAGGCCTTCTTTCAACATACAAATAAATGACAACTTTATAATTAAAATGAAAAACACAACAAAATACCTCGGTATCATAATTGATCAAAATTTTAAATGGGTTGATCACATTACGTCATTAAAATCCCAAGGTAAGAAGATTCATTTTTAAATTTTATGAAATAAGGAAATTTATGACTAGGAGTTTACTAATTATTATTTACAATTCGCAGGTTGATTATGTAATACAAAAATGTTTAATTAAAATTATCTACAAAAAACCAGCATTATATCCTAACTCTCTTTTATATAATAAAAAAGTGCTCTGTAGGTATAAGAACATTGTATTATTTGTCTTGCTGTACCTTTATTTATGGAAAGCCTGAATTGAGATACACTACAAATTACTTGCAATAAATATCAAAAAAAGCATACATTTTTAAATATTTTGACATACTCATTGATCAACTCTTGATTAGATTGTAATATTAATAAAATATTTGTTACTTTCCAGATTTAAATTTTTTGATATAATTAAAGGATGTCCTCCACTAAACTAAATTGACCTGTCCAAGCGTTTTTTAACATTTACGATATTAATACGCAAACCCTCATGTCGATTTTTTATCGGACCACCTTATATATGTATAAATTATAACAAATAGTATTCAAATAAATTCAATTAAATTTATTATTATCATAGATACAATATATTTTAATTCATAATTAAAAGACCTTGACTCTCTTATATAATTTGTTTAGAATTATAATAGAATAGATTGATAGAATAATTGCGAAACAGTTACCTGAGATATATTCTAGATGGCAGGATTATACTCTTCACACAGTAGTTGAACAATTACAGCGCATTGCAAATCAAGCTCTATAAGAGAATGAAGCCTATTTAAAAATATCCCAACTTAAAAACAAAAAAATATATCAAATTGAAATTTTTATCAAAATTCAAGGTTTATAAAGAATATAAAACAGTAAAGACGGAAATGTCTTTATAATATTGAATGTCCACTAAAGTTGGACGATATTTCATGAACAATTATTTAATTATTTTATTCTTAGTAAACTGACAATCTATACATTATTTTCTATCGATTTTTTAATGTTTTTAAGAAAAATCTTTAATTAGTTATTAATACTAATCACAGTAACGATTCAATCACGCAATGGTTCAACTCCCCTTCTTTTCTGATTGGTTGACGTTTCTATTTTTAAGAATTTGCATGTTGCTGAGTATTTAGAAATGCTATAGTTGACTTTTTTACACTAATAGATCACCATAACTATTTAAAAAAAATATAGTTACATGATTCACAAATTCTTAATTTTCTGTTATTCTAATAGCATTATGCCTGCAGATAATATAATGAAAATACTTACGGTTTAATATGATAACAATCTTCGATATAAAACTACAAAAATATTAAACAACTAAGTAACATTTCAATGGTTTTTCCTTTTATATCAAAAGAAGAATTATTGAATTATTTTTTATTCGCAATGTCAAACGGATTTTTTGCACGAATTCTTCTTGGATAAACAGAAAATTACTTTAATAGATTTAATAAAATCGTCCATGAACTAAAAGAACGCAATTATTCTAGGTTGTGGTCAACATGATAGGTAGCTTGCTTATTGCCGGTAAGCTATTTATTTTTATCACGATAAAAATACTATTTTTATTACATAATGAATATTTTTGTAGTAAAAGTGGATTTCTTGTACATATCGGAGACATGTTTCTATCGAGAAAACCTGAATCGTAGAAATTTTCATTTTAAAATAACGAAAATTTACTTTTCTACTAACTTTTTTATGTTAAAGGTAGAACATAATTAATTTTAAATGGATTGTGTTTTTCCATATTTCCTGTTCCTGATTATACATTACAGCAGTGTAACAATCAAAATTTACATAACAAACTTTTAACAACGCGTATCAAAGAATGCGACAGCAAGACAGCAAAAAAAAGATTTACTCAGTTCGAAAAAATATACATTACTTTAACAGATTAAAGAGTTGTTAACATGCTGGAATTGATTATTATTAACTCGAAGATGTATTCATTCAGTATTATTAAGACCATCCTCAGACCCCAAAGGTGAAAATATACCGGGTGTTCATTTTAAAGTGTTACAGTCAAATACCGCCGAAAATATGCATTTTAGAAAAAAAAGTTTCAGACAAAAGTTTTATAGTTCTTTGGGGGAAATATTTTGGCTAAATTAATTTTTTTGTAGTTGGCCATAATATGGCCATATCGAGGTGGACTTTGTTTTTTTAAATGGGAATCCCATTTTTTTTCTTACATATTCTTAAAGTACATAAAAAAATAAGAAACTTTTGAGGGAAATATTTTTTTTATTGGACTTTATTGGCCATATTATGGTTAGCTATAAAAAACGATTTTAGCAAAAAGTTTTTCCCCACAAAACTATAAAACTTTCGTCTGAAACGTTTTTTTTATAAAAAGCGGTATATAGCTGTAACGCTTTAAGTTGAACACCCGGTATACTTGGAGATTTGAAAACATAAGCCTGTCAGCGCCGGGATTCGAACCCAGATATCTTTATGTACCTAAATGCCCTAATTACTGGACCATCGCGACATTGACTGTCGAGATTCCTAGCCGATAGTTTGATGTGCTAATTTGGGCCAAGCACCGTTTTCAGATTCGTTCTCAAATCTTCAAATATCTCTATACAGCATCGGTGTATACGAGAAATACGTGTAGATGCGTACTGAGCCCATATCTTTGACTGCGTGAGTTAAATGGCAACATCCCCATCTGAAATAAAACTATATTCTAAGCAGTGGCGACTCGCAAACAAAATATTGTGGGTCCAGTACATATCAGTGGGGTGTTCCATGGACCGCACGCCCCTGGTACATATTTAGGTAAAAAAACTTTTAGTGTTTATAATATACCTTTCCAAAACACTGAAAGTTTTTAAACTTAAATCTATACTGAGGTCTATATTTTGTCATTGTGAACCCCTAAAATTTTGGTTGCGAGCTGCCACTGCTTCTAAGGTTACTCAATATCTTAGGCGTGATCGATCCAATCGCAAACGTTACTCGTCTTCTTAAATCAGGTAGGTGGAGAGGTTTAATTTTGTATACAATACTTTTTGAAATAACCAACAAAGGTTGACAGCTGTGTGCACGTAGTTTAGATTCAAAAGGAAAGACTTGTATTTCGTGCAAAACTTTTTAATTAATAAATGCAAAGCGCTTTCGGCTTATTAGCCATCATCAGTGCTTATCTACAAAAATTGTGGGATGTAAACTTACAATTTTAAAAATATAAATCTGATTAAGACTTTTAAGTCAAGAGTTAAAATTGTGTATATACGGTTGTTTGGACAAATTAACAATTAATAGATACAAACAAAGTGACAAAAATCCAGTATTGGGAATAGTGAGTGTGGGATAAGCACTTACAAATCATATTTGATCTCCAGAAGCAAGTTAGCTTGTGTGGAATTAAGGAATTATACCACCTTCACCATTCGCACAATTGAAAACAAGTTAACAAATTAGTTAAAATTTAAAGAAATTTACAAATAGAGGGTGACTGTGGAAAATATATATTGAAATTTGAATCTAGAATACAATAGTTAATATGAAGAAAGTTAAACGAAGAAAGCAAAAGTAAAAAACTGAAGGTTTTTTTTTATATGTATATACATTATAATTATAAACAAATTCTACCTACTGTCCACAATGTATCCAACAAGTTCCTGGTCATCCTCACTCCCAAAATTAGATATTTCGGGATATTTACAACTTGCTAAATCATATTATTAGTATTATTAATATTTTCAAATTTAAATTTCTTTATCTATTCATTTTTACTTTCCTATCTGTATACAGATATAAGGAAAGTATAGGAATCATGATTTTTTTCGACCTCGAGTTTTCGACGGATTTTTACGTTTTGAGGTCCCCTGAATCCGTTTTGACTATTTTCGCGATGATGTGTGTGTGTGTGTGTGTGTGTGTGTGTGTGTGTGTGTGTGTGTGTGTGTGTGTGTGTGTGTGTGTGTGTGTGTGTGTGTGTGTCTGTATAACGCATAACTCATGAACCGATACACAGAAAAACACCAAATTTTAAACTTAAGCTTTGTTTCAGCGTCCAATGAGCTGATTAGATTTTGGGCAGAGTCGGAACATCTGGGGGGGTACTTTATAGGTGGTCATTTTGATATTTTATGGAATATATCTGTTATTTACGTTTGGAAAAGAAAATTCTTCAAATAAAAGTTACTTCTAATATAATTATCTATAATTTTTGTTTTATGCAAAATTTTCCTAAAATGGTCCGTATTCGAGAAATTTGACAAAATGTAAAAAAAATTATTTTTTATAAAAATTGTTTAAACAAAAGTTGTTTGCAATATAATTCTCTATAATTTTTATTCTATACATAATTTCTCTAAAATGAACCGTATTCGAGATATTTGAGAAAATGTGTAAATTTCGAATTTTGAAGAAAACTCAAAAACGGATAAAGAAAAAAACATTAAATTTTAAACTTAAGGTTTATTTCGGCCTGACGTGAAATGATTAGATTTTGGACAAAGTCGGAACATCTGGGGGGGGTACTTTATGGGAGGCCGTTTTTATATTTTATGGAATATATCTGTTATTTATGTTTAGAGAAGAAAATTGTTTAATTAAAAGTTACTTCTAATATTATTATCTATAATTTTTGTTTTATGTCAAAATTTCCTGAAATGGTCCGTATTCGAGAAATTTGACAAAATGTGCAAAATTCTGATTTTTATGAAAGTTTTTGAAATAAAAGTTGTTTGCGATATCGATCTCTATAATTTTTTTGTTTATACATGATTTTTCTAAAATGGACCGTAATGAAAAAATTGTAGGAAATTTAAATTTTTCAGTATTTTCGTTTTCCATGAATATCTATAGAAAAATGTTTCGAGGTAGATGTATGTTGACAATGTATATATTTAGTTTATCCTCTAAACATTTATAGAGATGCTGCAATAGGTTGTACAAAATAACCGAAAAAAGCCTATAATAACTAGATAGGAAAGTCATGTGTTGGACACATCAGATTTTTATTTTTATTCAAGTTGTTTAACCGTTTTCACATGACAGTGGCGACAAGCGACACTTAAAGACGTTGACTTGTCAAATGTCAAGAGAGGAGGTGCGTTCACCTCAGTGTGGAACATGTTTCTCCAAGTGTGATTCGAGTGATTGGAGGTGGTTAACGGAGATCAAAATTTGTTAGTATTGAATTTAAAGATTTGATTTATTGTTAGTTAAATTTAAATAAATATTTAATATGAAATGATGTTATTATTTTTAATGATCCTTTTAATGTCAAGACAAAACAAAAATGTCACTCCCGTGGTTCTGATGTGCCATCTCGGGCTCTGTAGAACTTTTTTCCCAAGATGGCACAACTGAACCCGCGTTCCCTAGAGGTGAATCTGATGTTTAGTCTTAAAAATTACTAAATCACTCATCAAGCGTACTCATGGTTGAAAGAGACAAAATAAAGAACAAAAAAGTTTTAAATAAAAGAGTACCATGGTCTCAAAGGTAGGCTCTGATGGGTGAAATAGAATTTAGGAGGGGATGGCTCTCAAAGGCTTGTATTGAGCGACTCGGACCTACATCATCATAGAGGGTTAGTTGAGTTGTCTATGGAGTGGTATGAAATTTCTGTTTACTTTTGACATATCCCCATAAGAAAAAGTCTAATGATGTCAAACCAGGGGATCGTGCTGACCATTCCATCGATCCTCGCCTCCCTATCCACCGATTTGGAAATACCAAATCAATGTCTAGCAGTATAGACATTGATTTGGTATTAGGGCGGTGCTCCATTTGGCTGTATCATCCCTCTTTTATACCTAGAGCTCACATATTTTGAAACTAATTTTCCTTGAAAACGTTTTTCGATTATATCAAATCCATGTCTAGGCATAAAACATATAATATCAACGTTACCAGTTTAAACCGGCCAACGTCATAACGTGGTCAGGCCGTATAAACTAACAACGCTGATATTATTCGCTTTTTGCTCACACTAATGCTAACTTTCTGTAGTTTTTTCATGGATTTGTTCAAAGCGTATTGGAAAACGTTCAATGGCGGATACCGTATATACCAAGACATTTTTCTGACAGCCGTTTTAAGTCGAAATAATCTATTATTCTGAGTTACAAGTTAGAAAAACCGACTGTTTTGAGTTTTAAGCAATAAAAAAAATTTTTGTCGCCCTTCTACGTTTCTATACTATTTCATATTTAAAAATTATTTTTTAGTTCCCCCCTTCTTTTGGAAAAAAAAAATTACGCAAATATTAAATTTTAATATCCTTTAAAAGTTCTTGACGCTCTCTCGGATTTAGTGCTGGAATTTTAAATATTACAAAGATTCTTTATAAGAAGTTCAAAATTTTTATTTTGCACAAAATTAATTTCAAATTCCAAAAGTTCCAAACCAGTTTTTCAATTTTTTCAAACTATTTATCGGTGGATAACGAATTTTATCCCTTTAGACTTTCGTATGTATTTTCCTTAATTATATATATTTCGTGGGTTAAAAGTTAATTTAAAAAAACACGCCTGTTTGTTCAACGTCAATATTTAATTACATTTTTTCCAAAACATCTTTTTTAAATTATTTCGAAAAGATTGCTAAAAAAGGTGTAATATTTCTTCAAATTTGTATTTCTCGCAAAAAAGTATTATTTATTTTATATCGTGTATCCCATTTCCAGCCATCTGTCTTTGTATTTTTCTTTATAAATGCCATCTGGGTCGTACTTTGCCTGCAGATCGTTCCACCAATCGTGTTTGTTTTTGATAATAAAATCGACGACTTCCTTGGCTGCCTCTTTCTGTTTTTCGTTGCATTTGGCACATTCTGTTTTTAGAGCATCGGGTAATACGTCTATAAGAAAAAATAGATCGTTAAAGGTACTTAGTAAATAAAGAAAATATGAAGAAATATGAAAATTTAGGATTCATTTTTGAAAGTAATAAATCAGAGTACTATATAATATATAATGAGTGTTAAAAAATACATTTTTAAAAGTTTTCTATTTTAGGTATAAGTCTAATCATGCAAGCCGGCACTGTATACAAATTTTAAAATAACTCGAAGAAGATTGATTCCCTTTTCACATTTCTGCTTTACATACTTATTATGGTTTGTTCATAATACTTTTTTATCCAAGACTATACCTAGATACTTAAATTCTTCGACAAATGGAATCATATAGACCTAGGTGTACCTAGACGACGCGTCTAGAAAAACATATCATAGCAGTCTTTTCCGGAGAAATACTGAAACTCTTGTCTATAAACCATTGTTTAAGTATGCGCATAAATGTTCTTAAGTTATTCAAACACTGTTCATATGAACTATGGGTGAAATAGAAGCATATATCATCCGCGTATTGAACATTATTGTCATTTCCTAATCTGTGCAGATCGGCTGTGTAAATGTTAAATAGTATGGGACTTAAAATGGACCCCTGTGGTAAGCTATTATATACCGTTCGTGTACCATGCAATACATTATGCTGATCTCTCATGTAAATTTTGCAATAACTAAATACATTTATCATATTTGCTGAAACTTTTTTATCTATACCAATTTTAAAGGTATTTTAACTTTTTTTTTCTAAGTTAAATTTGAGTGGACTAATGGTAGCAGGTATATAATTGATGGTTTTCATCTTAACAACATTAAGATGGATGCAGTAGCAGGTCCAAGTAATTCACAACAAAAGCATAAAATTCTTTTAAACGATGAAAAACAGATGGTCTGTAGCGTATATAAAGATTTAATAAATACACTTTCGACAATGCAAGCCTTGGATCGCTGTTTATTTTTAACGAGAGTATCTGTGGAGACAATTAAACGTATTGTACATGAAAAGAAGGTGACAGCTCCAAACGTAAATTGTCTTGGTCGAAAAAAAATTAAATTGGTCGAGCACCAGAAAAATATGGGACGTATAACTATACAAGGAATCCGTTAGAAGGAAATTATTGGAGAATGATCTTGTTTCACAAATGAGCTGAGAGACATTAAGATAAATAGTGCACGAGTTAAAGTTTCAATATGCAAGACGAAAAAGAAGAAATAGTATCATAGCGACGAAAATATCTTCGTTCTATAAAGAAACATCTTTCGAGAAACAAGACAATATATTATTTGGATGAAACGTGGGTGAATGCTGGTCACACAGTATCTAAAAACTGGCAAGATACTATGGTAACAAGTTATCGATAAGCATTCGTGAAAGGACTATCAACAGGATTACGAGGACCAATTGGAAAAGGATAATGACTAATTGTCGCCCATATAGATAGTACACAAAAATTAAGGCGAGCTTATTTCACTAGTTTACAAAATTTATCTTGTCTGTTGCCGCGAATTCTGTGGTTGATAATGTTCACTTATGACTTGTTTTTGTCAAATCTAACCTCAAAATTTTTTGAGCAGCTCGAGTTACTTTGTTTTTGATTTTTATCATTTAAGCGTATATATTAATCGATAACAGGCGTATTTTACTGTGTTACGATTAGTATCTGAAGTTTTTGCGTCATGAGTAGTTCAAGGAGACGTTGTTTGAACAATCCAGATCATTTTTACTATACAGGGTGTACCAATAAAAACTCCCAGGCCGGATATTTTGGTAAGTAGCAGAGATATTTTAATTCTGTAGAAATAAATAGGTTTGAAGCGAAACATGAGGGTCGACTCCACTCCCACGTCAACGAAGAAGCGCAGCAATTACTGAACAACTCTACACTCAACAGAAGGCTCAAAAGGAAGAAGCCATTTGAGCTAGTGCAGTGAACGTTAATGTTAGTGCTAGTGTAAAACAGTGTAATAAATCGTCACGCCAACTTGTGATGCTTTCCTATAGAAACAAGATAGCCCAATGGGGACTTCTTAGATAAGTAATTAGTTATACGATTTTTAGATTAAAATTGTAGGTTAGTCAGTAATGATTAGTAACAATATTCTAACAAAAAGAAAAAAAAAATCCAATTTTTGCAAAAACTTACCAACCCACAAAATAACTCAAAATTTTTGAAAAATCAATGACAAAAATATTAAATCTTTTAAAATGTATGTATGTAAATATGATAATTTTGATTTTCTCAAAACTATATAGTTGTGGGTAGGTTATTGCATAACTACGTCCAATTACAATATACCTAACAAAAATCTTACTTTTCAAATCCTTTCCATCTGCTGTGCAAGGTCCCTTATCCATAAGACAATTATAATAATTTTTCAACAACCGTTCACTCTGTAAAATTTCCCGATAATCGATAGAATCATATTTATTTGTGTATAATGCATCCTCACAATACACGAAGCCCAAAATGACCAAAACCACCAGTAATTCAAGTCTACGCATTTTGTTTAAAAACTACAATATCACAATGTACCTAACTTTTTATTAAATTAAAATTAATAGTTTTAAAGCTGACAATGTCTAAAGAGGGGATGTGCAATATCCGTAAAATTGCATAATGAAAATCATAATTGACTTAATTACAATGCACAAGATAAATTTTTCTTTTTAAATGATAGTTTGTTGGGTATATACTTAGCAAAATTGTTGGTTTGATAAGCGGTGTTTTGTAAAGATGTCACCGGAAATGACCAATGAAATATTCACTGCTAAAAAAATTAAGCGAAAAAATACTTAAGTATCTTTTTCAATGTAAATGTAGAATATAGAAAACAATTCACCACTTTCACCATATTGGTTATGAGGTACGAATGTTATTCTTGGCAAAAGGGTTTAGTAAATTTAAAAAAAAATAGGTAAATTTATTTGTACAAACATGAATATTGAAAGTAACCATCCTAGAATCAGAAGTACCTAACCTTAGATTATACAAACCTTAGATGGAACATAAGACACTGCGCATAATCCCACTTCAAAATTATTCAGACCCACCAATCACAGTTGAGGACATCACATGTCAGAGCGTTGTTCGTCCAAATTTAATGTATCAACGAGAATTAATTTGGTATTTTAGTGACTTAGGCTTTTTCCGATTATTTTGTACAACCTATTGAAGCAACTCAATAAATGTTTAGAGGATAAACTAAATATATACATTTTCTACATACATCTAACTCGAAACATTTTTCCATAGATAATCATTGAAAACGAAAATACTAAAAAAAATTAATTTAGCACTTTTCCTCCAATTTTTCCATTACGGTACATTTTAGAAAAATCATAAAAAAACAAAAATTATAGAGATCGATATCGTAAACAACATTTTGCACATTTTGTCAAATTTCTGAAATACGGACCATTTCAGGAAAATTTGACATAAGGCAAAAATTATAGACAATAATATTAGAAGTAATTTTTTTTAAACAATTTTCTTCTTTAAACATAAATAACAGATATATTCCATAAAATATAAAAACGGCCTCTCATAAAGTACCCCCCCAGATGTTTCGACTTTGTCCAAAATCTAATCATTTTACGTCAGGCCGAAATTAAACTTAAGTTTAAAATTTAATGTTTTTTCCTTTATCTGTTTTTGAGTTTTCTTCAAAATTTACACATTTTCTCAAATATCTCGAATACGGTCCATTTTAGAGAAATTATGTATGGAATAAAAATTATGGAGAATTATATTACAAACAACTTTTATCTGAACAATTTTTATAACAAAATAATTTTTTTACATTTTGTCAAATTTCTCGAATACGGACCATTTTAGGAAAATTTTGTATAAAACAAAAATTATAGATAATAATATTATAAGTAACTTTTATATATAACGGATATATTTCATAAAATATAAAAATGGCCACCAATAAAGTACCCCCCCAAATGTTCCGACTCTGCTCAAAATCTAGTTCACCGCATTTAAAATTTGGTGTTTTTCTTTGTATCGGTTGATGATGGTGGATACACACACACACACACACACACGCACACGCACACGCACACGCACACGCACACGCACACGCACACGCACACGCACACCCACACACACACACACACACACACACACACACACACACACACACACACACACACACACACACACACACACACACACACACACACACACACACACACACACACACACACACACACACACACACACACACACACACACACACACACACACACACACACACACACACACACACACACACACACACACACACACACACACACACACACACACACACACACACACACACACACACACACACACACACACACACACACACACACACACACACACACACACACACACACACACACACACACACACACACACACACACACACACACACACACACACACACACACACACACACACACACACACACACACACACACACACACACACACACACACACACACACACACACACACACACACACACACACACACACACACACACACACACACACACACACACACACACACACACACACACACACACACACACACACACACACACACACACACATTCCGAAAATGGTCAAAACGGATTCAGGGGACCCCAAAACGTAAAAATCCGTCGAAAACTGGAGGCCGAAAAAAATCATCCTATACTTTCCTTATCTGTATACAGATAGGAAAGTAAAAATGGTTATCGATTGACAAAACATAGAACCGTCAAACCGAGAAAAGAGCGGATATATTAGAGATGGGATGGGAGAAAAATAACGGTATCATAGATATATGGTTACAAGTTATATTGCACAGAATCGATGCGAATATGTTGCAGGTAATTCTTAATTAAATCCGGTTCTTTAGAAAATATTCTTTATTTGTAACACACCTTGGGCATTCACACATTGGGATCTATTCTGTAACAATTCCTTTATATTTAACGTCCTTTAAAAATATTGGCGGCCTTTAAAAATAGTTTCTTATTCGTTAATTTACTTCTATCATTATTTAAACAGATTTCTTTAAGAGTCCTCTAATGTATTTTAAAGATCCGTTTAAATAATGACAGAAGTAAAGAAGAAAATATTTTTAAAGGCCGTTAAATATAAAGGAATTGTTACAGAATAGCCCCCTATATCTGTTCGATGGTATTAGTGAATGACCTGTAAAAGTGCCCGCCCAATTAGGCATACAGCATTTCTATACATAATCGCGAAAAATAATATATTGGTGTTGTCTGTAAAAACAAGTGTTTTGTATCAAATAGATAGTCCTCGTACATAACTGAAATGACATTAATTCCGTTTAAAATAATTTAAATGTTATTAAAATGTAATGCCCATGACTTATTTTTGTAAACAATAAAATAAATGTTGTTAATTAAACGCTGTTTTCTTTAAAACTAGAAATATTTTGTATTGCTATTACTTTAATCACATGAGTACCTTGTCATTGGATTAAAAATAAATATATATGTTGAAATTTGAGAAAATTTATGTAGAACGTATGGAATTAGTATTTTAAATATTAAATTAATAATAAAAGAGAATCTGAATCTGTGAGGGATGATGGGTAACCCACACATCGCTTAGGCCTTACAAAGCCCGTTGTGGTGCCCAGTAGCATATCCTAGCTCATGATTTAATTTAGGTACGCCGTATTTTAGAGAAGACATTAAACTGTACAATTTCCTAAACCATAGATGTTGGGCTGGTTACAGATCCCTACTTTTTGTTGAAAGAACAGTACTCCCCAGCTAGAGTGAGTAAACCTTGTAGTAAATTATAAATTGACATTATTTAATAATAAAAATATACTTATTTTTAATTTTAAATAAAAATAAAATTTATGAGAATTTTAATTAAACAATCATATAGCAAAGGCGTTTCAAAAAAACCATAAAAAATAACAATAATCTTCTTGGTTTTAGAAATAGTGTCGTAAAATCAGGTGACAGCTAAATTATGTAAGAGGAACTAATTGTTTCTTCTCAAAAAAATAATTATAATTAGTTGACGTATTAAAATGATAAATGATCTGTAAAATATAAACTTTGTACTCGGATAGATTGGAATAATAATAAAAAAATATAATTATATTCACAGAAAATTAAATACAACAAACTGTGTGTCTATGTAATATACCTTCTGTTCGAGTCAAAAATAGAAAATGAAGAAATTTCTTTATTTTTTAAGATATTTAGGCTGGTTGATTAGAAAAGAAATGAAGTGAGCCTGGACTAAATCTTAGTTCCTCCTCCTGCATGTTCAAGAGACTCTTTATTACCGGGTTTTCTCGTCTCATTTCGTTGCGATTTCTAGACGAAATCGAGACAATACTGTAATTTTATTTTTGAAACAAGATTGAGAAAAAAATGTCGAGATTTTTCAAGATCGATAATTTTTTTTTCAGATTTCTCGATCTGCGAAAACATTTAAAACTCGACAATTTTACGTATAAAAAAATGTTTTTTGGCGAGCCGGGTATGGGCAATGTATTTAATATAGACATGCACAACGTTCTTTCGGAGACTTTTTAACCGAAACTACAAGAAAAGTGAAACTAAAAAAATTCCTGCCTGTTTATTAAGGTGGCGTATTAAATTTTAGATAAAGGTCCAACTTAGGTGGTTCAGACATTAATTTTTTTTTAACTAATTGTTTTTAATTAAACACGTGTGGTAAAAAATTGCCTATTTTTAGACCTTTTTCATTGTAAGAATTTCAATAAAGATTTTTTTTACCAAACAATCGCATGGAGTACGGGCCCATCTTTTGGCAACTCCCCCAAAATAAATAAAATAAATAATATAACTATATTTTTTTTTGGTACTAAAATATTAATCTTCCCTCGTTTCCGTATCCAGATAGAAATAATTCTACGCTAAAACTCCGTGAGTAGCAAATAATAAATTCAACGGATCGATAATTCATTTTGGCGAGTAGATTATTTTAACAAATATTTGACTACAGGCACTACTGGTTAGGCAGTCCCGCAGTACAGAATTTGACCGCAAATCCTGTGAAGACTCCGTCCAAGAGGAGTATTTACTTCGCTTTAGAGCAGAGCATGCAAGGGTTTCGTAGTACCCCCACTTTTAAAGTTTATTTTTGACATATTTTGAAAGAAAAAAATATGTGCGTGTAGGTAAAGGTTAAATCTGTGCTCCTCTGGAAACACTTTTTCAAAATTTCAATCTATTTTTTTTTTTAAAAAACACAAAACTCGACTTTTTTGATCCATTTTCTCAATTTTTTTTAGAAAAAATTAAATTGAATTTTGAAAAAGTGGTTCCAGAGGAGCATAGATTTAACCTTTATCTACACGTACATATTTTTTTCTTTTAAAAATACTTAAAAATAAACTTTAAAAGTGGGGTACTATGAAACCCTTACATTGCAAGATTTTTCGTCTGGCAAGTGGCGCCTCTGTTAGATTTTTAAGAAATTAATATTTGTGAATGGAAACAATTTACAAAATATTTTACTGATGCCTTA